CGTTTCTTTTGGTCGAAATTGAGCAGATCATTCGGAACAAACTTCGCTGACACACGTCTCATGTCTAAAACACTCGTCAAAATTGATTGGCACGAACCAAATGAGATGCCAATATCATCAGCAATTTCTCTAATGGTAATTCGACGATTTCCCAACACTATTTTCTTCACTTCTTCAACATTCTCATCAGTTGTTGATGTGCTGGGGCGTCCAGAACGAGGTTCGTCGTCGGTGTCTTCTTGGCCTTCTTGGATGAGTTTATACCACTTGTAAACATTTTTTTGGCTTAAAGTAGACTCACCGTATGCCACTTTCAGCATTTCAAGTGTTTTGGAACATTTGATTCCATTTTTCACACAAATTTTAATGCAAACTCTTTGATCCATGTTTTTTGACAGCAGCAAATCGTGGAGCACGCAAAACACTTCTGACCTTGATGCCTCTCACAAACAAACCAAACATACTACAAAGCTGAAATTTGGAACGTATGTTCTAGACGAGTGTACCGACATAACCAAATAAAAAAGTCGAAGATCGAACGGACGTAGCCCGCTAAATTTCAAAATTCACCTTACTTTTTGATCACACCTCGTATTTTGCATAGAATTTTTCATCTTCTTTTTTAACTTTAGGTATCTGTAAATCATTTCGGATAATTTCATTCGGTACGAATCATGGGGCCCATACTATATTACGTAGGACTTTCGATCAAAGTCTTCCCAAGATTTCGATATTCGAGTTAGAAGCAGCACTCCATAGTTAAAAGCCATATGTCTAAACTGATTTAAGTATAGCTTTTTATAGCAGCAGTTTATTTTCCATTGACAGCTCCGATTCCGATCCGATGAGCCAGTATATTTTCCTCCATTTTAGACCCAACTATTTACGTTTAATAAATGTATGTTCTTTCCGTGTAAGTCTTCTTTCTAGGTGAGTACCTAGATATTTCACTTGATTGCTTGGCGAATTATATTTATCGTTTGATCTGATAGGAGGACAGATATCTTTTCGAAGTGTGAATATCGTATGTATTGATTTGCTTTTATTTACTGTTATTCTCCAGGAGTTAAACCAATTCTGAAGATAATTTTTTATGTAGTTTTGTAACGTTTTGCTTGCTATTGTTGCCTCTGGGTGTACTGTTAAAATTGCTGTATCATCTACATATGTTGCTATCAAAATATTAATAGATTTGCTTTCTAACTTATTTGCTTTGTTGTTTTCTTCTTCACTATGATTTTCGTTATTTTCTTTATTTTCTTCAAGTATTTCATACCGGTTTCTTGTATTACTTAGCCAGTGATCTGATAATTGTGCTTGTCGCTTTTTGTTTTTCATTTGGTTTTCACGGCTGTTTCTTTGTCTTTTGCCGCTTACGATTTTTTAGTTTTCGTTTTTTTTTATTATGAGTGATCTTGTCACCTCCGGTCTGAGTGGTTATCAATTTGACCATTGAATGATTGACCTTTGTGATCATTCACGATTTGTAACCGAATCGTATTATGATGTACATGATAATTATAAAGTTCCTAGAAAAAGTAAGATCTAACCATTTGTATGCTATTCGGTCGATGATGGATTTCGGTGTTCTACAGCTTTTTTGAATGAATTTATTCTGAAAGGGACCGACAAGGCAGCAATTATCAAGAACTCACCTACAGAATTATTTAAATATTTCTTTTCACCAAAATTACAAAAGAATATCATTGGTTGCAGAAAGGAGAACAGTGGTTATGAGATATATTCAGACGATCTTCAAGTATTTGTTGAGATTATTACATTATCTATTTGGTCACAAAATCCACGTCTGAAAGCTGACCTTATTCAAAATGTTATATTTCAAAATTAATTCGAAGACATAAAGTCAAAAAAAAAATTTTATCACCCTCGCAATGCAACTGTTACTGATAACGTATGTCGCATAAGATCCATGACAAATGTTTTTAGACAAAAACTGATTTATTTCGAAATTTTTTCTAATGCCTTATCTATAGATGAGATGATGCTGAAGTTCTATGTTAGATCATCTCTGAAACAGTTCATACAGTACATAACAGTTAAAGGTAAACCGGTGAGATTTGGAATCAAGCTCTAGGCTCTATGCAGTTTTGATGGGTAACTTTTCAACTTCAAAATTTATTGCGGCAAAGATACTCTGATGAGTGATGAATTAAACAAGACCACAAAATTTTTTTCGTAGTTTACTTGAACTTTCATAGGTACACTGTATATTTTCTGAGTCACTGATCACGAATATTTACTCAGAACTGCTCCAGCACGCCAGGATTTTTAGTAAATTCGAAAAAAAAACAATCTAAATGCCTTTATAGACATAGTCACAACCTAAGCCCTTAATCTCATACACCTCTGATCTCCAACTGAATCTGAAGCCCTTAACTCCCAAAACTCCTAACCCTCAAACCCTTAACCCTTAAGCTCTTTAACTTCAAACCCTTAAATTCTAACGCTCTTAAACCTCAAGCCCTTAACCACGAAGGTCTCAATCCTCAAGTTTTAACATCAAAACTTTAAGCCGAAAGCTTTTGATTCTTGCAGTTATTTTAAAATTAGTCTTGTATCAGTTGTTGTCAGGACTACTTTTCAATTAGTTCTTTTAAGAACTACTGTCCAATTAATTGCTTTCAGAACTACTCTTCAATCAGTTATTTTCAGAGCTACTTCTAGTCATTTTCCTACAACTTTTACTAAACTAATCTTTGTTCAGTTTTTCCATTCTTTACTCGATTCTAAGATCTATTCACTAACCGATACATTCACAATCGTTTCTCAAGTCACGTTTTGCTTCATATGGTGTTTTGTTTCTGTTATTGGACTGCATACAAAATGTTTTTCAATGATACGAATGTTTTCTGTTTTTGTTATGGAGAATTCGTATTGAAAAAATATAGAAAAACTTTCACAAATCATTTTAGAAATATACATAAATGTTGCTATCCAAATGCTGATTGATTTATTGTGCGACATTCCTTAGTCAATGGCATAAAGGTAATGAAAGTAAAGAAACGATTCACGTTCTATCATTTGCCAGGAATCTCGGAATCATATAGATGACTGTTACTTTTTTTAACTTATGTAGATGGATTCAATTCAAAGAATAGAGCTAAAATCATATATCCTTAGGCAATAATAGAGATCCCAAAAATAAAAACATCGTTACCACAATTTTGAAAGCTTACAAAAATCTTGGTTATTTGATGAATTATAAAATACACTACCTTGATTCACATCTCGATTTTTTCCTGGAGAATCTTGGAGACTTTAGTGAAGCAGAGCGAAAGATGCCATTAGAATATTAAAGTTATGAAACAGAGATAGCTGGGTATTTGGGATAAACATATGATGGCAGATTATTATTCAGGTTTCAAATTCAGAGGTAGATATTTTTCTGCCATTGTTAATTGTATTTTTATTTTTTTTACCCCATGCCCTTAACGCTTTTGGCCAGCTAACAAATTATATTGTCTAGATTGTATACAAAGATTTAAGTTTTATTTTTTAATGAGTTGACTTCTTTGTTTACGATATTCACATCTTAATTTTGATTAACACAAAGAACCGCAGACTTGGTGGATTGACTTAGTCAGTAATCCGATAACTCGACTTACCGTTACTTTCTTGGTATTTGGTTGGTTGGGCTAGTTTATTGTCTTTTGCTGTTTACAGTTTTCCACACGTCGGTGTCATTTTAGACATAGGTAAATATTGCATTTCCTGTCTGAGTAGCCAATTTGAACATTACTTTAATTTTATTATGTCTTTTAAAGATAAATTTTTATTAACTTGGTTAGTCACTTCACTTGATTAGCTAATACTTTAGCTTTACGAGTAGAGCTCAATGTGAACACGTACACTCTCCTCCGGGATCAAACGCTGAATGAAGAAAGAAAAAATAATCCTATAAATCACTTTTTATTATTCTGTGAAAATCAATTGGAAGTTTTTTACTCATTTACTTGATCTTGTGTTTTTTTAACTTTTTAAGTATATTCCCGTATAAAAATTTTAGATATGGAACATTAATAACAATTTTTTCTTTTTAGAAAGATAATAGTATTTGTTGTAATAACATTTTGTTTCTTCACAAATTTGAAGGTTGATTACACAATAAAAAATTTAATTTATCATTATGATACGTAATCCTACTAATAAAAGTGGTTACATCATTTAACAAGAGCATCATATATCTGATAAATAATTTATAAAACTAATATTTTTTTAAATGTGCATTCAAAATAATTTGCAAAATAATGTTTTCAATGCGCATTTTTATGCAAATAACATGAAAAATTTTCTATTCCAATATCGAATTCTCATTGGAAATTGGGAAGTCAAATTAGTTCCCTAAATGTTCGGGTTCCCCAATGATTCAGTTAGTTTATTTTATTAATTATATATATAATATTATTATGGTATAAACTTATAATATTCATATTATCAATATTATTAAATAATTAATAGATGATAAAAGGAAATTATTTAAAAAATTTATATTCAATTTCATCCAAAATTGATTACAAATGAAAGTAAAATGAAAAATATATAAATATATTTAGAATGTTCGCGCTTCTTCATAACTTCGAAAAATCATTGTTCGAATAAAAATTCTCCTCTTTTATTTAATTCTTTATTTTACGAAGGGATTGTATTTTACCGAAATCCCATTGTTACCACAGACACTGTACTTTTTCTAGTTCAAGACAAATATTTCCTAGTAACATTGTAAATCAATAATATATATATAGTTATATGGAAAAATGGAGAGAACAATCCATTAGCACTTCCTAGCTTGGTGGGGAATTGGAAATATAAACGGATTACGTTTTCGTCATCCAGCCGTTAGTAAATTAATTGAAAGAAACTAAATTTAGAACAGGAAAGTAATTTCGATGATACATTTTAACACTTATCCACAGTCTACTGAGTTCCGAAACAGTCGATAAACTGTTGAATATTAGTTACTGTTTTCAATACATACGTACCTGAAAAAATATTTCTATTTTTGATTGCTGAAGTATCTTCTTCTTCAAAACATGCTAAAGGTGCCTCAAACTTCAATTCGGCAATCTTAGTAGCCATATCCTTCATAATCACAAATTCTGAATTATATCCCGTAACCCTACAAATAAAAAATATTTAACGTAATATTTAAAAATACATAGAATTGAAGAGATTAAGTTGATTGCGTTTAATATGATAAAATAAATCAATTTTTTTATTGTTTCAACTTAAAGTAAAACTCAGCGACAGTTCTCTCTGAAAGTTTGAAGTCGATCCGAGCTATATATTAAAAGGAAGAGCAATTTTTCCACTTTGATCTGCCCCACCTATGTGAATCAGATTTTACGTTTGATACAACTTCTAAAGTAAAATTCAATTCAACTTAAACGTAAGCAAAAAGAGGCTTTAGACATAGCTCATACAAAAGGAAAATCGCTTCATGGGCGTGATACCGATGATTCTATGTAAGTTCGAAAAAATCGTTTTTTTCTGAAATTAAACTTTAAATGCCTTTTTCGTAAAGCGGTATTTTTTAAGTTGGTGGAGATGACACCTCAAAAACTAATGCACCAATATAATCCAAATTTTACACACCTCTTTTAAATAGTATTATCTTAAACGGAAAGTTTTTTTTTCCTTCAAAGAAATTTGTTACATATGAATTTATTAGGTTTTTGATTCGAAAAATAAATTTTTGACACACAACGTCGCCAAAAGTTCAGATTTCAATTTTTCCTCAAATTCTTCAAACCTGTTTAGGCCTAGGCTCAAACTGGCTAAGGTAGAACCAAACTACTGGAAACGAGGCATCAGCAAAAAAAAAGTAACAATGTTTTTTCTTTTGTCATTTGCAATTGTTTATAAAAAGTTATTTTAACACATTACCATAAGTCATTATTTTTTAAATCTAATTTCGGTAGTCGATTTTACCGGAAGAATAACGGCGGAAACCTCTGTAACATTTTCTTTCCAGATTACATTTTATTAGTATAAAACGACAAGAAACAATCACCTGTACAGGGATGTTTGCGCCTATCGATTTATAGGAAAATAACAACGATGAATTTTTTTTTAATTTCTTAACAATCTGATCAATTTCCTATTCGTTTTTTTCTGTGTTCTTCTTTGTGTGGTTGACATAAGGGCATACTACATTTTTGAAAGTAAAATTCAGTTCTTATTTCACAAGGCGATACAGCACATTCGTTTTTTACCATGTTTTATCTCGTGTTTGTAAATGGTGCAATCGCTAGATCTCTTTCGTTTACTACTACGTTTATTGCTGAATTTATCAAGATAATATTCAATAACTTCTTCTCCAATATCTTTTATACCTTTTCGTTCATCAGGGTGTAGCTTGTTATAAATAACTAAAGAATTAAATAAGGATGCTTGGATAAGTGAAATAAATAAACACCACGACCATTTTCTACTCCTAACAGATGGCATTACTCTGCTGCAGTGTTTGTACATGAACATCTACTCCGTCCATATTTTTATTATACATCGAAAATGCTTGAGGAAAGAGAATAGACTGAACGGCGGCCTCGTGCCACTGTTCTACTTCAACTTTTATGAATTTTTACAAGCTTGAGTCCATGTTCAACAGCTTGTTTAAGAGCTCGATAATGTATCACATAATTTCTCTTATTCATAAGAGTAGCACATAATTTTTCATGCGTAGAACCATGAAGCTTGATGTACTCTGGGTAAAATAGAAAATCATTATACTCATCGTAAATCGATTGCGGATAATCTAAATCGACTTCTAAAATATAACTTGTTGGAGCATCATCTGCGACCTGTAGAAAGTAAATTTTATCTCATGGCAAATATTGTGTCATCGCATATCCATACAAGTTATTAGCGTCTAGATAAATAAGGTACTCCTCTTCTACGCTACTATCAAATTTTTCTTTCATATATCTGTTGTTAGCTGCACCATATCAACCTGAGCATTGATTGAGCACCAAACCACCACGAATACCTGATTCTATAAATAAATACATATCTATATCCGTCAAAAGTCTTAATGATATCTTTGTAAACTTGAGCATTGCATCCCATGAAAAACCTGGAGTTGTATAATAGTGGGCTAGATCTAGACCATACGCTGTTAGACATTGCTCGCGAAATTGTTCAAAAACTTCTGCGAGTAATAGAATATCGATTTTCATGTACAAATCGCAATATTCACATAAATTTTTTTGTTGAATGCTTTCCAAACTTTGGAGGGCATGATCGTAATCAGCATCCGATAGTTCTGAATCAGTGAGACTACTATAAAAGTATTTTTTTCAGGCAGGCTGATTTCTTCAAGTTTGTCCCGGCAATCGATGTATTCATATGGAAGCACTCCTTTCTGCGTCAACAAATTTATTTTTTCTTCTTCAGTATCTTGAAATTCTGAATTCATAATTTCAACTACCCAAACAAGAAGCCAATTTGTCAAGTAACGAAGCCATAAACTTGAATAAATCAATGAATCGTAATGCGATTCCAGTGTCTGCAACAGACTTTGTGAATGCAATATACTTTTCTTTCGACAAAGCTAAAATTTCAATATTTTCAGAAAAGTGATTGGATATATCACGAATAATAAAATGAGCATCATAACCACTAAGATTATGAAAAACTACAGGTACTATACGAGAATCTTGATAGTTCAGATCGCAACTTTGATGTGCTGCACCTCGATATATTTTTGTCAAGTGACAATGGTTATGAACTTTCATTGATTCATTAATTAATTTTTCACGAATATGACATACATTTGTTGCCTCGAATTGAGTGATTTCCTCTAGCGTAAGATCATTCATAGGTTTTGGATCATCATAAATATTTTTTATGTAATAAGAAATATTTTTTAACTCTTCTGCAAACCATTTCGATGGCTCAGGCCCGCGATAAGAATTATATCTCGATAAACTGTCATCATAACTACATTTCAAGTAGTAGCATATGATAAACATTTCGTGGTGTTGAATGGTAATGGTATTTTTATGAACATCTTGCTCATCAACTTTTGGTTTTTTCAATAGGCATTCACAGTCTCTATAGATACTGAACCTTTTTCTGGCATCTTTACACTACACTTATTTATTTGTTTACAGCAAACATTGATCACAAATAAATTTTTTAGTTATGTTATTATTAGCACTCTCCATTTTGTTCAGCAAAAATTTTTTTAATCTAATTTTAGAGCCAACCCGTTGTAAAAAAATTAAACAATCATCTCAGGTGGTTACACACGTGTGTTTCGTTGGTAAATATCCAATAAATTTTTTAGTTTTGCAGCGCAATAAACTGCTTCCTAAATTGTGGTAATTATTTGATATTTCATCATTTATCAATAAAAGATTGACATGATTTAATTTTTTTCATCTGTATGATAAAGAGGAATAATTTTTTTACCCTCTAAACCAAACACATTGATTGATATGCTGTTTTGTTTTTCAAATTTTGAAATTTGATTCAAAGAGACTGGATATGATATACCATTCAAATGGAGTTTATTCTCGTGTGATATGTAATGATTTACTCTTTGAGGATGATTTGTATATTCAATTTTACATAAAGCTGCTAAGAATACCCATATAATACATTTCTTATCATTATTTTCTACATTGATACAAGCATGCTTGTTTTTTAAAAATTTTGGTAGAGGTATATAAGAACTTCCATTTCGCATTGGATTTAATTTATTGGTATTAATTTGAAGATTAATAATAGAATCCAAGGACCATCCTGACTCATTACTTTCAAATTCCTCCACCTCGTTTAATAATGGACTTTTAATATTATCATCAAACTATTTCTTGAGAGCGTTTGAGGGGTATACTTCAATATTTCGTATAGTAAAATACTTTGTGTCAAAAGACTTTTCCAATTTATCTTGGTTAATTGAATATTTCAAAAATTTGCATGATAGTACAGCATTAATTTTACAAGCATTATTCACTCTTAAAATACTTTTGACATGTCTTGCAAACAAATTGCAAGCATCTTTCAAGAATGATTCAATATCGATGTGTTGAATATTGGCTATAATACTAGTTTTCAAACGGTTTGCGAATGCGCTTTCAAAGTTCAGCCATTGTATACGATTTTTTATACTATCACCCAAACCTCTTTCATGAACTCTACAACTTTCTAGAATTCTTAAATAAATACATTCAAGTTTACCAATGGTACTGAGCAATGATTATTTTTGTGGCACACTAAGCGATGATGACTGTCTCAAAACTTTTCAAAGTTCGCAAAGATAAGACACATTATTTTTTCAATCGTTCTATAATTATTTTATAACGTAGGTTTTTAGAAATAACAAAATTTATAGATTCTTCAATCAGATGGAAGCGTTCCAAACAGTTTTGTAAAATTTCCATTTTTGTTTTTTAGCATAGATGTTGACTGTTGCAGGTATTAATTACGAATAAATTGAGATCGGCATCAACTATTTTATATATAATGTTATTAATCTTCTTCACCACATGTACTACAGGTATCTCAAGTTTCTATCTCTGACGAGTATAGTAAATACATCATTTCGTGAGACTCTTCATTTTGAATATAATCATCATATGCCCTATTGATTAATTCATCATCATCATCGCTAAGCATTTCTATGTCGGACTGAGCTTTTTCTTCCATCTCCATAAGCAACTCTTCTAACGTTCTTTTAGTTAGAATGCAGAATTTATTGATGTCTTGAGCGTGTTTTGGATAACACATTTTGAGTTTCGAAATTTCTTGATAGATGACAAGAGAATGATCACATTCGCAAAGGATATCTCATTTATATGCATATTTAAAAGGGGAGGGGGTACAACTTTAAGTTTGCGTGCAAGTGTTTTTTTCATTTAGATGCAGTAATACTCACATTGAAGTATCATGTCAGACTATAGGTAATTATTTCAAAGGACTCTTAGCAATTTTTTTCTTACCAATCCATTTTTTTCAGATCTGAACAAGTTAGGCTGGAAAGCTTTGACAACTGGCCATGCTCATATGTTCAGCCGAAAGATTTAGCAGCTGCCGGATTTTTCTTTGTTAATGAAATTGATAAAGTCCGATACTTCGAGTGTAACATAGAGATTTATCGTTGGAAAGAGGGTG